GGCGCAACACTCGGGGGGAAGCCATTCCGAGCAAGTCGTGGCTATAAGCATGGACTTACCTCAATTCACTTGATGTTGTATCTTTGCAAGTGCACATGGGTTTCAGCACTTCGCAGCCGGACCTAGCATCCACACATCAACTGTTCGAGCGTCTACGAGGCTAAGCATTTCGGACGGAGTCAGGGCTTAGGATGGCCCAGGCTCAGAATCCATCCGGCTGTAATCTGCTAACTGCGGGTGGGCAGTCAGTCACCTGCTTCTGTTTGGTAAGTCAACGGAGGGGGTCTTGGTCAGCCTGATCGCCGCCGCACGCCCCGCTTGCGAGTGGTAGTTCTTTTGTCGTTCTCAAACCTTCTCTTCCTGTCTCTGTATTTCCTTCGTTCATTCATTGTTTTCGCTCGCGTCTCCACACGTGATGCCACCGACGCGTGTCTCGTGCCTGCGCTGCCTGTGCTTGCGAAGTCGATCGTGCATTGGGGATGACTGGTTTCGGTTTTCTGTGATGCCACTGATCTGTGCGTATCTGGCCCAGGAGCTTGCGAAATAGACCATGTACAAAGCAATGGGGAGTGGCTTGTTTCGATGTGCGTTTTGAAGGCTTACAGGCCTTCCTAACGAAGCCTGCGCGTAGCACTAAAAAACCCTAAGTATAGAAGTTTCCATGGATTGTGCTACGAAGCGCGTGCACACTGGGGAAAGCAACTTGCTGCGCTGCTTGTGGTCTGACTTCACGCACCGTGGTGGGGACATCATGAGCCATGGGACGACATGAAGCTACTCTTCGTACAACAACAACTACTACTACTACTACTCCTCCTACTACTACTACTACTGCTGCTGCTGCTGCTGCTGCTATTGCTCCTCCAGCTCCTGCTCCTGCTGATGCTGCTGCCGCTTCTGCTGCTGCTGCGGCTGCTGGTACTACTGCTCTGCTCCCAGAGCTAATGCTACTCCAACTTCTACTCCTGCTTTGCTGCGACTGTGAGCACTAGTGGTAGACGTCCTAATCCAGTTGCTTGACAACCTGTTTGCTGTTCTTATCTTCTTTGTTTGTGTAGGGTACTCCAGTCTGTCGTACACTCGCGCACTTCGAGGACTCTGGAGTAGAGGAGGCTACGGACAGTGCAAAAAAGGATCACAAGATCAAGGGACACTGGGCAGCAGCAAGTGATGTGACAAGGTCAAGTTCCATTATTGTGGCCTGTACCTTTCTGCTGCTATCACAGACACAGATTCAAGATTGTTCGTGATGCGTGTTCGGCACCTGAGGAGAGAAGAAAGTGGAGGTTGCTGCCTCAACTTTGGGCGAAACCAGCGGTGCCACGAACTTGATGCTTACACCTGGTCGAGGGGTGAAAGGAGCATTCCCTCTGGCCATCCAACACTTGGCTGGTCTGCTTGTAAGGTGGGCGAGTGGATGGATGATCTGATGGAGGGCTTTGCAGAGCTCTATCGGGTGGCTGGCTGAGTGCAGGTTGGAGCTCTGTGCCGAGCCTTCGACCAGCTGTTAAGGATCCCACGACTCACGTGCAAACACAAAGAATTCTTCAGACTCCATGCAATGTTTACCCAGTTGGCCATCAGCGGCGGCCAGAGCTGCGGAGACTGTGTCCGCAAGACCACCTATCCCATCAAGGACCGAGCTTGCCTGCAGACAGGGAGAAGACCCGTTATTGAAGTTGACGGAGTGATAGGTGCGAATCATTTAGATATGTGGTCCCAACTGTCTCGTTGTTTTTGAATTGGCTCGGTGGTTGATGTCTCTCCATGTCCAGCAGCAAGCACCGAAGCGTTTGAAACAACCAAACAACCGTGTAAATCCTGTTCTTGCTGATTATATGCTTGTGCGTTTCTTTACCATTTTCATTCCATGTTTGTTCCATTTGGTTCAGTGTCTGATGTCTCTCCAGGCCCCGTAGATCTGAAATCCAGAAATTTGCAAAAGGACCGGAAGCACCGAAGCGGTTGAAACAAATTGTAAAACAATGGCGGAACCATCAGACAATGATAGTGAACAACCTGTTCTTGCTGATTCTATGCTGATGCAGCTTAGTACAGTTCTATTTCCATGTTTGTTCCGTTTGGCTCGGTGTTTGATGTCTCTTCAGGTCCAGTAGATCTGAAATCCAGATATTTGCAAAAAACGCCGAGGCATTCGAAAACACATTGCAAAAAAACATGTTTAGAAAACGTGGTTAAATTATAGTGTAAGTCTTGAAGTTGATTCTATGCTCATGTGGTTCTCTTATTGTTCCAAGTTTTTCTCCAACGGGTTCGGTGTCTTCCTTTCTGCCCAGGTCCAGTAGATCTGAAAACCAGGATTTTGCGACAACACCGAAGCAATCGAACCAGCCTTTTAAAGCGAATTGGACAGTGATGGACCAAGAATGGTTTAAATTTTGTTTTACTTGGTTCTATGCTCATGCGAGCTTTTTATTCCCACTCGTGTTTGATGTGTGTTCCATCTTTGTGGCTTTCACAGAGTTATCAGGCGGGGGTGCCATGTTCAGAATAGCAATTACGGAAACCCCAAGCCTACTCGCGACAGCAAGCACGCCAACGCACCCTGCAGGCTAGCCAGGCCAAACCAAGCCATGTTTCAGAGTGTTCACAGAGTCGTACTCCGTTGGCTAGGTTCCAGGAGGACGTTTGCCCTTGGGAGAGGGCAGGGGGCCCTCCGCCTCAGCCCCCTACCCCGACTGAAGCCAAGCCAACATCGCGCTTTCTAGTTTGAGGTTCGTGAGTCGGCAAAACTGATGCTTAGGAAGATTCGGAATTGCTGCACTGTGTGTATTGGGGCCTGTGCGAAGTTTGTGCTTGATCGTTGCTCCCCTCGCTTACTGAGAAACAGTGTGCGGCATGATTGAATTTCCCAACAGCTTGTCCGAGGAGACTTGCATTCCCCAACAGCCTTTTGGAGAAAACGACGCAGTACTTTTGAATCCCCAATGCATGCCGCAAAACAGAGCCCGGTGAATTGGAATTCCGCAATTCCTGTGCAAACTGTGCACTTTCGGTAATGTGCACGTGTCTTGCCCCAAGACAGCACCGCATGCAACTTGCAGTTCCCACTAGCCTGCCACAAAATATGACCCTGCATATTGCCAGTCCGCAGTATCTTGTCACAAAACAGAACCTTGCAATCCGGGATTGCCTGATAGCTTGTCGCTGAAGTAGACCCTGCCATTGGCATTCCCGGTTAGCTTGCCTCAGACTGAAAGTTTGAGATTTGGATTGGAATTCTGCAGTAGCTTGCCGCAAGTCGGTACAGATCAGAACAACAACGACACAAACGGAAGCCCCGCTATAAGTCCTCAACAACTCTGTGCTTTGCAGGAATCGATCCTGGGCGCCTACGATGGCGTCTCAGCTCAGGTCCGGACTCCAAGTGTAAGTCGAAAGATTTCTAACATAGTACAGAAGATGTAATACACATGTCCGTATCTGTATATGTAAGATCTGTCTCTACAGACCAGTAAATAACGACAATAATATGTGTGGACATGTGTGGATGTGTATCGTTTTCTTATAATCTAGTAGCATATAATACTAATAGCATCCTATGATGTTATGATATACTGTATGTAACATAATGTGATGTAGTCTTACATTCTATAATAGAGCAGAACAGAACAGAAGTGCTTTATTAAAGTATAATGAAACGGAATAGAATATCTTGCATAAGAAATAAAACTAACTATATGAATGTATAATATACATATATGTATATACATATATACATATATAGATAGATAGATAGATAGATAGATAGATAGATATACACATAGTAACAATACACGATACATCGGCGGCTGCGGTGACAGAGATCAAGCTTCATTAGGACTTTGAGCCCCCAGGTGAACCCAACGACTGGTGCCCGCGCTGCGGCCGGACGTTCTGCTGCAGCACCAACCTTTCGACACGAGTAGGCTGTGTCGGCTGATTGCCTCGGGGCGTCAGGTTGGCTGTCGCAAGCCATTGTCCCAGTACATCCATTACCATCCAGAGGTAAGCAGCCCGCGCGCGTCTCACAGGACAGCATGCCAGCACCAGGGGGAAGATCCGAACACGTCGAATTCCAGTAGAGATCAGGTTCGTCCTTCTGTATGAATCTTCTCCTGCCTTTGCTGCCTTTGGCAGCGTTGCAATTGGCGGTACGTCATGTACAAACCGTGTGTGAGACTCTCAAGTTCCGAACTTAACACTAGCTGCAAATTTGAAGCATCGGCGAAGCATATCATTGAGCCCCTGACTACATCTCACAATGTCTCACACACTGCAAAACAGCCCGAGACTTTTGCTGGCTGCTGTCCTGCGAGCTGAAAATGTACTAACTTTCTGCGAGTTGCCGCAAGGCGATGTGCAGAGAGCTTATCTGAGATGCCGAATTGGCAATGTTGACCCAAGCTGCTGTAGGTTAGCGACCGAGAATTGAAAAGGTCCTTTGATCATGCGGCAGAGCTTAAGTTACGCGATGTGCACATAGTAAGGATGTACAAGACACGCGTGCAATGATGGACTGGTATCCATTGTGTATGATGTGGCGCACCCAAGGCAATTTCACTCTCGAACAGCGGGTCGGGTCTTAATGCGGAGATCTAGCCCTCCTACTAGTAGCAGGTGAAGATATTATTTCGAGCCCCACGCTACGATTAGTTTCGTCAGCAAAACCTACACTGTTGTACATACATGCAGTCACATGAGCAAATGTGCAGCTGCCTCAATGTGTGCCTGTACATGCAACATGCACCCGTAGTGGCGTATCTCTGAGGGACCATAAGTGCTGCTTCAAAAATGTAAGTGTGGGGTGTGTAAACTCCTTCTGGCACCTAGGCCCTGTACATATAAACTTGTCAGAATATGTGCCATGTCATAAACTAGGCCTGCGCCAGTAGTTTCCGGAGCACCGAAGCAAATGCATGAACGAGTGCATGTGCGCAGAAGTATGCCCAGGCAGAAGAATGAACAGCAGCAGCAGCAGCAGCACAGCTGTATTCCGGCACCAGTTGATCAGTTCCTTTGCCAAGTATCGTTTTGTGTCGTCCATGTATCTGCACGAGCAGACACTCGCACGCGCGCACAGAGCTCTCAGAGCGTTTCTCGCGCCATACACATGCATGTAGGTGTGTGTGTATGTATATACATACAGACGTACACACATACATATATACATACATATATACATACATACATACATACATACGTACATACATACATACATACATGTATTTTTATATGTACGTATGTGTGTATGCACACATATTTACACGACATGCATACACACACACACATACATACATACATACATACCTACATACATACATACATACATACATATGTATATGTATATATATATAATTATTAAATTATATATCCGTGCATTCGTAAATGCATGGGCACATGCAGCAGGTTGGACGAGTACACGCAAATGCACATTCGTGTATTCAAAACCACACATGCTTTAAACACAGATCTATATGTAAGCATACATGTACAAACATGTGAGTACATGCGCAAACACACCACATACTTACATACGTACGTGCGCAAATGCATGCTTACATGTACACTGTACATATACATACGACATAAACGTATGTACATATGCATACATGTACATACACAGACCGACATGTTTACACATGTACATACATGATCTGCATGTTACGTAGTACACGTACACAAATACATACATACCTGTACATACACATACGACATAAAAAAGTACATATTCATACATGTACGTACATAAACGAAAATGTGTACATGTGTACCCTATACATATTACATAGCACATAGTACGTGTTACATATACATACATGGATGCATACATACGCACAGACAGACAAACATTGATAAAACCTTCACTGTGCACCGTTAGCTGTGACATCTCGGAACCTTGGCCGTTACCTCTCAGGCTTTCAACCACAGTTAGTTGCTGCGGAAAATAGTGATGCAAAGCTGAGTTTTTCCTGTTTCGGTTTCCTTCGAGCTCGGATTGCACAGTGGCACCGGAGCGCTGAGTTCGATAGCTGGGTTGCGTCTGCGCGACTCCTCCCTTCTGGCGGCCTCCTCCTCCTCGATTACCCGATTATCGACTACCTCTATAGGCGGAGGCGTGGTTCGGTGATCCGTTGGTGATTGAGTTCGGGGCCCGTATCACTTTTGGTTTCTGCAAGCGAGTGAATTCATGGACGACAGAAGCAGCGATAATGGATATGGCGCCTGGGGAAAAGTTCCTGTTTGAGACGGCTCCCCCTTGACCTGGAGGTCCTTCAAGAGGGAGATGCAGTGGTGGCTTTCCAGCCTGGACGCCGACTCGGCGAAGAAGTACAACTTGACTGCGAGGTGCTTGGCCAGAGCGGCACGGTGAGAGAGATGTGCGAAGAATTTTCGCCAGATGACGTGCAATATCAGTAGAAGGCCGAGTCCTATGTGGATCCCGAGACAGGCGAGACCGTCGAGATCACAGCCGAGGACTCCTTCGCTGGCATTCATCGCCTCGTGGACGCAGTTGAGAAGATGAACGGGCAATCCACCCTGGACAAGCTGTGTGAACTGCGTGCCCAGTTTTACCTTCATACGTGCCACAAGGCGGGCGAGCGTGTGGCCGATTACTCCTCGCGCATTGCAGACCTCCGCGCCGAAGGGGTCAAGCTGCCCGATGCTGAGCTGGGTTGGCTCTATAAGGAGAAGCTCGGCTTGAACCCGCTTCGAAAGCAGCTGCTGGAGATGGCCTTTGGCGGCACCGAGGGCTACGCCACCATCGAGTCGGAGGCCTTGCGTCTCTTTCGCGCTCTGCACTCTCAGGACCCTTTGTTTCGGAGATTTGACGGGCCGACAAATAAGCTCACCATCTGGAGGATGTTCTCGCCTCCCGCGACGGCACCGTCTTCTACCACGACCAGTGGTGCACTTCGACCCGTCGTTCTTCGGTTTCTTCAATGGCATCTTCATCTGGGCAGCTGGCCAGGCGGCAGCAAGCTCGGCAAGTGCATGTTTCCGAGGCGGCTGCCGAGGATGAGGCCGAGGAGGTGTCCGAGGTTCTTGGTGAGGACCCTGCGGGCGAAGGCACCGAAGGATCGTGGCTTCAAGGGCCCTGGTGTCGGCGGTGGTGGGCCTCCCAAGGGCCGTGGCCGTGGTTCGGCCAGGAAGAAGAAGGACGGCAAGCAAAGGTGTTTTGACTGCGGCTTGCCGGGACATTGGGCTGGCGACGAAGGCTGCACCTAGCCGGGACAAGGCCTGGGGCGAGCCAAGTCCAGGAGCGCGCCGACCAAGCACGTTAAGATCGCGGAGGCCCTTGCCACACTGATGCGAAGCTGAGTGGTTCCTTTTTTGGTTTCCCTGGAGCTCGGATTGTGCAAACATACATATATACACACACATGCCCATACATACAGACATAAATAAATAAATCAACATGCATACATTCACATATATACATACATGCATGCATACATACACGCATGCATACAGACATACATGCATACGTACATACACGCACACATACATACATACATACATACATACATACATATATACATATATACATATATACATATATACATATATACATACATACATACATACATACATACATACATAGATACATGCGCACACACGCATACATAAAAAACACGCACATACATACATACATACACATACATACACATACATACACATACATACACATACATACACATACATACACATGCATACACATACATACACATACACATATGCACAGACACACAACCACATATACGCAAATATGCAGACACTTGTGCTTGTATTTGCAGATGTGCATGTGTACACACACATGCATGCATGCACGCATGCATGCACACATAAAGACAGGCAGACAAGCAGACACACAAACAAACGGACAGAAAGACAGACGGAGACAGAGTTGCACAGAAAGGGGTACAAACACGCTGCCAAACACACATGCATTCGTGAAGCATGCTTGTGGTTGTGCCTGCAGTACGCTTAGCATCATTGCAGCAACGTTTCCGTGACTCACTGTGTTGTTCTTGCCCGGGGAGTCGTAACATTTGGTGTGGACATCTGACTCCCATGTCAAGCCACGGCTAGGCAAGACTCCACTTTGCAGTCATGGCATGAGGATTTGCTCGACGACATTGAGCCGGACCCAAAGCGTCAGCGTTTGCCGGGGCCCTGTTTTCATGTTCCGTTGGTTGTACATGCAGTTTGGCTTTCAAACGAAATATCTTCGCGCACTTGCTGACCACTCAAGTTGGTTTGCGTAGCCAAATGTAACCAAACTCACGAGCACAGCAGTTGTTCCAAAATGTTTATATTCAAAAGGCTCTGTCAGGTACCCTGAACAGTTAACGTGGAAAGGCATGACATCATTGATCAGTTTTGCCTTTCTTCTCTATCCACTGCAATTCGCAGATCCCAACATCTAAGGCTTTGAGCGGGACAGCGCAGCCTGCTTGGATGAAAAATGCACGTGTTGCTCTACCTCGGTCCTCTTTGCATGTCAGTCCGAGCAACATGAATCTCTTCGGGAGCTTGTGGCCAGGCTGGAAAATCATCAGGTCGAGACTCGCGCCACACATCGTGCCCGTGCCTCGGCAAGCTTGTGTACGTGCCAACGGTCATCGATTGAGTCAGAACGGACTCATGCCGAACTTCCCTGTACGGTATTTCAGAATCGGCAAACTGTTGTGCAGTGTTGGAGCTGTGGATGAGGCAAGGTATTCGATGGTGCTGTGTGGTTTACTTGGCGCCGCGTGCTGAGCAGATGCTGTACCGAACTGCATGTGATAGTTCAGTAGTTCCTGATCCGCCTGTAGCATTTTGAGCATGAACTCACCAGCTCAGGTTGGTGATGGTGCAGGCCGTTTTTTCCACTAACTGTCCTGTTTGATGCGGTGGTCAAGATGTTTTGGCTGGAGGGTATGCCTTAATTTTGTTTCAGGGTGAGCGACTGCCAGGCAGTGGCGGCACGAGAGTTCAAGCAACTTAGCTGTAAGAACTGATGTGGGGCTTGGGTCCATGCCTGCTTCTCCAGACGTAGCTTTCAAACGGTCACGGCTCTTCGCCCGAGGCCTATGTTTCTGCTGGTATTCTTCTCTCTTCGGGCCCGGCTTCTCTTGCAAGCTGTGCCCTCAATACGCAGCTGCACACGCCTGATCTGATCGGCTCAGCAGTCTGATGACTGCGACGTTTACATACCGGTTCCTGGACCTTAGGAGAAATGTCCGCCATCCAACCAACCAGCTGTCACAGTCGCCGCATGAGGACACAGAGTGTACAGAATCATCAGCGAATTGGCAGTCGCAGCACTTGTAGTCACCAGCAGCAGCAGCAGCAGCAGTTGCAGCAGTAGCTGTAGTTGCACTGTCAACACTCACGAACAGATAGAAATGCAAATGATAACAGACCATAGCATCAGCAATCGAATGTAAATTCGTGTCAGAGCCAAAAATACGAATAGCACAGGTAATGCTACCGGTACAGATTGAACCAGCAACACGGTTGATTGCCATAGCCAAAGCCCCGTGACCGCATGACCTGAGGGTTGAGTCAATGCCGTGAAGGACCGGTCCACTGTAAGCCCTGTTAAAGAAAATCTACCCCGGCCCCACAGCTGGAACACCCTGTGCTGCCTTGTCGAGCACGGCGGATGCAGGCTCGGCCTGCAGGTTGCTCACGCCATGCATTCATGCAGGGAGGTATCTATGGATCCGTATATGTGTGTACATACGTAAGTATGTACGTACATCCTATCTTTTTGTGCATAGGTGTATGCATGGACCCGTGTGGATGTATATTTAAATGTGTGGAGGGCGGCCTGGTGCAGCATACTGTAGCAGAGCCAGCATAGAGGACATGCTTGAACCATCCGTATGTTTAAGAACTCCCAGCCTCTTTCCTCTCTGTTGGTGGGGTGCGGTGCTTGTCCTCTTCGCCTCCCCCCCTCCAGAGGAGCCAGCAACTACCTCGACCTGTATCTGGGGTGGTCCGTGGTGGAGTCAGTCAAGACAAATGTTCCAGCTGATTTAAAACTAGGCGGCCTCGGCGAATCCTTCGCAGAGGTAGTGTGAAAAGCGCTTGTATTGTCTTGTGATCACTGCGGTCATTGTTTCTTTCGCTGATGTTGTTACCCCTTTGTTTTATGCTCGTGTCTTTTGGCGCTTAAGTTTGCCCTTGCTTTTCCTGTGGATACTGTTGCGTTTTGGTAGGGTTGGAACTGCATGTCCCAACTGCACTGGCAAGCATGCCCTCGCAGTTCAGTGCAGGCTTCATCCCTTGTCTTCGCTTACTGAATTCGAAGAAAGTGATGCAACAAGAAGAGTAACTCGGGTAGCAAGTGTAACGGCATAGCTCTTGCTGATCTAGCAAGCATGCATCCCCCATGATGGTTGCTTCCGCTATTGGAAAACAGACGGCTGAAAGCTGTGCTTCCGATGCCTCAGCCCAACCACAGCTGTCAGGTGCCCACCATCAGCCTGCAGAGCTTCTTCGAGGTGCTTGGCATCAGTTTTTGACTGATTCTGCAGAAGTGTGAACGGACTTGGGCTCTTTAGGCTGAAGCCGACTGCTCTGACTTGGAGGATCTGCCTTCCGGATCGCTACGCCTGCTAAGCAGATGGGAGTTGTGAATTGCACGGACAGGAGCTCAGCAGCAACCTGCGAGTCTTGGACCTCGCAAGCCAGCTGCGTGCAGCCTGTGAAGAGGCGCTCTGAGAGTGCTGGGCGCAAGAAGTGCCAGTCCTAGTGTTAGAACCAGTTAGAGCGTCGTTCCTTCGGCTCCTGAGCCTGTACAACATGTAGAACGAGAATTCCAGAAGAGCTAGGCCACTGTCCGGTTATCTGATTTGCCGTGGCTGTGTGTGTTTAGCAGCCTGAGTGAGTTTTCATGAATCTGGCATGAACTTGACGAGTAGTCGTATTCAGAATTCAGGTTGGCTTCTTCGTCGTGACGGAACATGGCGTGAGCAAAGATTTGATGGAAGGTCCGGTCCAAAGATCCCTAAGACAAAGCAGAGGCTCAAAGCTTTAGTTTGTTGGTAGTGGCATTGACCCTGCGTCTGTGCTGCTATGCTGAGGCTTCCGCCAGGAATGCACAGCCTTCTTCCGCCGCAGCCCGCAATCGAATGTGCCCTCCCAGCGTGGTTGCCGCATTCACTGCTGCGCCCCTCCCGTTGCGGAGACCAGTGGAGCTCGGGTGCACGGCTTTGGCAGGCTGAACATGGTGTGCGGAGTGGACAGCCGCTTCGTTTGGCTGGACTATGCCAGCCTCTGAGAAGGCTTCTGTTGCCGCTATCTCGTGAAGCCTTCGTAAAGTGCAAAGCAATATGCCTCCGTTTATGTAACTGCTTACCATTGTTGTCTGCGTGTGATCTGCATTTGCGTGCATTAGCATGTATGTGCGTATGACTACATCAGGTTCATGGTACATACTGCAACAACATCGTGCCTGTGTTCAACATTTCAATGTGTTTGTATCATCGTGAGCACTGTGTCATACCACTAACGGCAAGTGCTTTCAGCCCATTGTACTACTATGTATCTTCTTCTTGAATGATGCTGAGGCTGTTTTGCTACATAGTTCATAACATATCATAACGTAGTGCTGCATGGCAGTATCGGACATTTAACAGTAGGGCATTTTCTCAGGTTTCAACCAACCAATGTTGACAGTTATCTGATATTCTAGTCGCAACACAGCACACTAAAGCAGAATCGAATAGATTACAACTACTACAAATATTGATGGGTTTCGAGTGCATCTAGAAGCTGCCCCAAGTCTCTGACCGACCGAAGGTCGGAACCGCTAGGTCATAGGCCAGGGTAGACGCAGCCTCTGACTCAGGCCTGGTCGTCGAACACCAACTTGGGCCATGCGAGAGCGGTCTTTTCACTATCGTTTATTAATGTTTTACGAACGCAGATGTGTTGTTGACCGACGGCACCATGCACCAATGTTTGTCATAATAGTTGTAAAGCATGCCCTTCACGGTTCTTTGAAGAACGTCAGTTTCTGTCAGCGTCTTTAACATCCTCCATTGAGAGCCATGCTCAAGGGTATATGGTGGACACACAATACATTGAAGGCACAAAAGTTACAAGGCATGCCTTGCTTCATATTGTGTACCCTTTCTTGTGAACGACATCCGTCGTCTTTAGATTGTGAAAACACTGGTACGTTGCGTGTAGAAGTGTGACAAGTTCGGCAGAACGTCACGTGGGTTACTCGTACGTACAGCATCATAAGACTCTGCATAGTAGACTGTTGTACAGCATTTATGGATACAGGTCAAGGACACGTTTCATGATCGCAGATTTCGGCATAATACTGTATGCTGCATCAGAATATGACATCACCGTGTTCAACTGAACAGAACATGGTTCAGAACATCCTAGCCAGAGTTTTGCTGACGAAGCACAGCAGAAGCTAAGCGTTATGTAGCTCTGCACCTCGGAACATGCTTGACTGCAAATGCTTGGCACCATGTCACATGTACATATAGCACATTACATGTATCTACACGCACACACACGTGCATACACATTTGTCTGTATGCATGAGTGTATGTACCTGGCTGTACACATGCGCATACATTTTCAACATGGTATGTATATATATATATACACATATATATGTGGACATGTACAAGCAACATAACATGTCCAAGCATAAGCCTACACCATGGAAAGCAACATGTTCTGATTGGATTTGCTGCGGATGGTAGCACACATCCATGTATGTATGCATGCATGTACGTATGTGTGTCTTCATGTAGGTCTGTAGACCGGCATGTGCGTATGTATGTACGGATGCATGCATGTATATGTTTGTGCGTGGGTGTGTGTGTGTGTGTGTCCGTGTGCGTGTGTGCTGCAAATGACTTCCTCGGATCAGGTCCCTGCCGAGTCTGAGAAGGTCGCCTGTGACTCAGTTGGACGTGGGTGCATATCTATGTGTTTGTGCATCGAGGTGGGCGATTCCAAGGATGGCAGCTTCTCGTTGGGCCCTGTACAGGGACGAGGCAGTCTGCCTTGGCAGTTGGACCGCAAAGTCGGAGCCCGAGGAAGGCGTGCCGGGCCCTTAGAACGGCTTGGGAGGCTTTGACCTGTCAGGAGCTGTCAGATACATGGGCGATGTACTATGCGGGCAGCCCAGAGGCTCTTTTCGCTGCAAAGCAGAATGTGAAGCGCGGTGAGTTTGTTGCTGAAGGCAGCAATGGAAGACTTGGTCTTCACCCTTATGAAGCTGTTTGCCCTTGCCATGCAGCTCCCAGCCTTACACTTGGAGTGCTTCGTCCTGTCCTCCTGAAAGTGTGGGCCCCTATGCCTGTGCCGAGATGGACACCTTTGCGACTGCCTTGAACGAGCATCGATCATCGATGCGAGCCATTTTTTATCCCAGCGTCTCAGAGGCATGTTTTGTTGGTTGCACTGTTCAGCAACTAGAGAGATACAGAAATACATGCCGACAGGAGGATTTGAAGGCTGCAGGGGGCACCGTCGTCAGATCGCCATGTGCTCGGGCACGCTGCAGCATGTACAGGGAGGCAGCGATGCATGTAGTCATCTACAGTGCCTTCATTCACGAATCCCCTGAGAAGTCATGGATATTCATGGATACCTTGTAGCCTTCGCGATTTCGGCTGCGCTAATGCTAATGCACTAGTAGGCATTATTTTAGCTGCGCAAGCTCATGTGCAATGAGTTCATACGACGACGCACCCATCAATGATGGTAGTGTATGTGCCAGTCCGCCACAGTACTGGTAGTTAGTAGTGAAGGGCAGCATGCACACGCTAGTTTGTATGTACACACACATAAATTTTATGTTAAAGGGCAATACGTGTGCTAGAGATATGATAAGTAAGCAAAACATGTTGTTAACAGCATATACGGTTGCAGACTTGAGAACACACGACAGTAGATGCTCAATTTTGCACAAATACGATACGGCAGGAAATAGACTTGCCAAGATGAGTGCCAAGACGTGCTGTCATAAAGCAGGCCTCATACGACAGAACCGTACATGCACTACTGTCACTACCGTAACAATGGGCATACACCAGTACCCAGCAGAATGGATTTTCACAGTGCTGATGCACAAGGATGTAGCAGGGTACAATACACATATGTAGCAATGCCTCACTAAGCGACCCTATGAGCCTGACAGCATCATGCAGAGCCGCTGCTGTGCTGGTTACGTTGCCGTATCGGATCGCTTAATCCTGCACACATATATATATATACATATGTATATATACTGTATATACATATATGTATCAAGAGCGATTAGTCGCTTGTGAAATGCTCCGAAACTGCTGTTGCATGTAAGGGCGTTGTTGATAGCATAGATAGATGATAGCAAACTGTCTGAGAGCATGGCTAGCAGCATTTGACAAGATGTATCAAGAGGACTCAGCAAGTCATTTACACATCGTATATGACGGCTAGGCTATACCAATGGCGCAGGCCAACATGCAAAACACCACGCGCCTGTGGCATGATGCGAGACGGTACAGATGGGTTAGACGCTGGCGTTCATGTCGTCAGTGGCGAAAGAGTCAGAGTGCTCTTTGCGCTTGAGACAGTCTGAGCTTGAGGCCAGAGCATACGGACTGGGGATGTGTCACGGCCCGATCCTTGGGCAGCTGCTCTGGTACGACCCTGCAGCAATTTGAAACGCAAGTCGTACAGGATGGCGTCGAGCTTTCCTGTGTAAATTGTTGCTCGCTGCCTAGCTTCCAGAAGCACAAGGAATGCTTCCCGACTTGGCCTGAAGCTTCATGGGGCAGAACGAAGGGCAACCACCGGGGTCCTGCCAAGTGCACATGAAGAAATTGTCGTGCATGCCAACACAAAAGTCATTGTATGCCACGACATGTGCTTGCGTCAAGCTTAAGTCACTACGGCAAAAAACGAAATGCTGCCTAGGTTTTGCTGGCAGATCCAGCTGTAAGCGGCCTGGAGGTCTGTGACAAGGCGAGGATGGGGGTTTCCTTTGCACTTGGAGCTCTGTGACAATAGTAAACCAGTCAGAAAAGCAGCACTATGACGACAACCACCGAACCAACAGTAGATCTAGTAGCCGCAATACACACATTTTTTGGCAATAAGCGCAGTGTGAGGACAGTCACGAACCTGAGATGAAGTACAAAATCAGTACAGCGAGTACATTTGCAGATGTTCTTTTAGCGACCTGTCACATCAACAGTGACAAGACGAAGAGCAAGCAAGGGAGGCAACAGGCTGCAACAATGATCAAGACACTAGAGTGTATATCAGCGAGATCAAGAGAGCAAAAACGAGAATTGCAAAACTGACAGTACGACTGACAAGCAACATTATTGGTGTAACCCTATTGCCCACAGGAGAAATCATAAAGAGCATTCGCTATAGAGGTACTGTGGATGCTTACACCGAGAATAGCAACTGCAGAAGCGTGCAGCAGCGATAGAAAAAAATGCTTCCAGCGAGAATTTTGGTATGAGGAAGCTGGCACCAACATTCAGCATTCAGTGTTGATACGAGACACGAGGACCAGGACAATGAGGCCACTGCTGTGGTAGGAACAGTGGTGGTAGCAGTTGTCGTCGTAGTAATAGGATTAGCAGCAGGAGTAGAAGTAGCAGTCGTCGTCGTAGGGGTGGTAATGGTAGTAGTAGTAGTAGTAGTAGTAGTAGGCGCGGGTGTCGTATTTGACGCCACGTTTTTGTGGCTGTCAGGACGAGTTTTCATCGACAATTACAGCACTTTTCGCAAGGCAACAGCAGGAGTGT